TCACCAAAGTGCCGATTATTACACCTGCGGCAAAGTGGGGCCCTACCTCGGCCACCATCAGCCTGTCTCTGGCCTCTAGCACCACCAGTAAACCTACCTCCACGTCCCTGACCAGTGGCGCTGAAACCACCGCTAGAAGAGCTAGAACTAGTACCATCTCTCTTGAAATTCTGAGTCCGACGAGGCCCGCGCGACGCTTGACCTTTACCCTTATCATCTTTCTTCTGATTACCATTCTTCTCTTCCTCATCACTCTCGCTCGACATGTTTTCTGAATCCTCAACTCTCAGCAGAATCTCATAGAAGTCCTGGTAAGTATCACAATGAGTAGTGGTTGCCATCGAACGCCATTTCTTCTTAGTGCCTAAGCGAAAACGACGAAGCATCTTTGCCGGATTACCAGCAATCTCAGGATGATAGCGAGACAAATCAATGAACTTCCGATAATACTCATTCGCTGTCAGCTTCCTCTGTTTCAACTCAGTAAATTCCTGCTTCTTACGATCAATGTACTCAGGGGGCACAAACCTTCTCTTAAATAAATTTATGAAAACATTCCAATCAGTCTTCTCAGCTGGAGTCAAATGACGAAGTTCCTGCTCCTACCAGGCTGCAGACTCCGAACCCAGAAACCACGAGGTCGTCTCTACCCACTTCTCGACAGAAAGATTCCCCTGACTATTCAGAACACGAAAAGTCTTCTCAATGTGCTCTAACCATCGCTCTGCACCCTCATGACCTTCATTACCTTCAAACTTATCCAACTTCAAATTATACATAGTCTCCAGAGGAGTCCTCTGGGGAGGGCGGATCGCCGACTGAATAGTTGTAGCAATAGCTTCCCCCAGCTGAGCAATATCGGGGAAACTAGGCTCAGCAGAGCGACGTGGTTCTCGACGAGGCGGCATAGTTCTGACAGAAGACACCAAAACCATTAGAATACTCACAAAAGTACAAGACTGCCAAACCTAGGCTCTGATACCAAACTGACATACCCCGAACGAGATCAGGGCATGCTGGGCGTCACGTGGAAGTGACGTAGCCATGTGCACAGTACGGAAGCTAAAAAAAATAGTAACGTAAAAGTACGAATAAATAAAAACTAGCATACATAAGGTAGAAGTAGTAAGTGCTAGCGTAAGTGACACAAGTTCAGAGCAGAAAGCCTAAAGCAGTCCAAACTAAAATGACGCTACAACAGTACACCCGAAGGTGGCCCTACGCTGGTGATCGTCTATCAGAAATGCCGAGAAAGCCCTCTGGGAAACCACAGAACCTGCTATGTAGCTAGAACCTGGAGGGGCGCAAAACAAAAGCGTGAGTGGGCAAAAACAAAGCTTTTCGAAACCATTTCAAAACAAGATTCTAACCCCTCGCTGTAAAACCTGTATACTTCCCAAAAAATAAACATATGTACGTATATATAGATATGCCAAACATGCTCAAGAATATGTCATGTCGGAACCTCAAAATGAAATGCAAGTGCTCAGGTATAAATCACATCAATAATATATAATCTGGCAGCCGGTGTCACCTAACGTGACCTGTACGGCTGCATCTAGAGCTCAGATCTCAATCACAATAACTAAACTTGCCCACGAGTCGGAACCACCTAAAGTGGTCTGTACGACAGGCCTGGGTGTAATACATATAAACGCTCTAGTGCTACGATCACGTGAAGACTGTGCGAATAATCGCGGGTCACCTACGAGTCGGAACCACCTAAAGTGGTCTGTACGACAGGACTGTGCACCTAACTTGGATCCAAGCTGAGCGTGTGGTGCGGGAGGTGAACAACACGTGAAGGACTGTGCCCTACTCTGGGCGGGAGCACTAACACCGGGGGTGCAGGTTATGAGCTCTCTAAGCATCTCGAATCACCATTTAAAAGTAAACATGAATAACATTTACCTGACACTTACCTATGCGTCCACAACACCAAATATGCATATGTATATAAATATATACGCCCAATAATGCAACTAATGATGCATAACTGACAATAATATAATGCATGGCATATAACAAATAAATATTTAAATCAATTTCTGGGAAAATATAAGTATATAGGTATATACGGAAAACCAAAAGGCCACTCACTGATAAGTGGAAGGGTTGTAGCCCCCTGCCTCGAGTGACCACGCTCGTCCTCGGGATATGTCTCACCTATATGCGAAATAACTACAAAAACGTTAATTTTAAAGCACATAACCAAACTTTCGAAATAACTTCTCATACATTGCTCAAATGGAGTGTATGAATACACCAACGTGATCTACCCAACCTCACGAACATCCACAAATTTTTAGAAAAAATTTTCACCGCCGCACGCGCCGGCCACGCGCAGGCATGTGCTTGGCACACTGACGGCGTCAACTGACGTAGTTAGGAATATTCCGTCATCCCTAACGGATTCCGTCAACGGCGTCAGGAATATTCCGTCAGACTTGACGGAATATTCCGTCTTCTTCCCCGGCGACGTCGCCGGCGCTGGAAAACTGGAAATTTTTTTTTAAAACGTCCTAACTCTTTCGTTTTTCAACCAAATTCCACGATTTTGGTACCAAAATGAAACCTAGAACTAGAGGAACACAACCATACAACTTTTAAGGGCTAAAAACCACTAAATCTCACTTGAAAAATCGAACCAACTCCGGCCAACTTCGAAAACAACGATCCCGACGTCCAATTCCCTCAAACGAACTACTCCGAGCCTCCTTGGGACCTCACCAAGCTATCTACAAGCTTCATTTTCCCTAAAACGTGAGAAATCACGTGTGCATGAATAGTATCCAAATCGGACATCGTCGAATCGACGTGAAAACATTGGAGTTCTTACCTGGAAATGGTATGGTTGGACTCGTACGAGCCTCACGAGCTCGAATATGTGCTCAGCTCCTTCGATCTGTGGAGGTTTAGTGTGCTTGTGTGTGTGTCCGTACGTTTTCGAAGAAAAAGAGAAGGAATGGGGCTCAGGACAGGTGCAGAGAAACAGGGAGAAAGGTTGTGGTGTGTGGGAAGGTGTGTGTGGCACCAAACATGCCAACAAAACCCCAAAAACAAATAATAAACGTAACGAAATCGAGCTAGGGGCAAAACTGTCTTTTCACACGTACGTTTTTGATATTTTCGGGACAGACTGTCACATGTAGCCCTAAGCCGCCACGATTGGAAATGGGCTAAATGATGATATCCTAATTATGGGGAAGTTGGTCAACTACCAAACTTCAATTTGCCACATACTCTAAAGATTACTTTTGAAAAAACAAAAGAAAAATAACTTCTAGAAGGCGCTTCGGGTTTGTTTGGTACTGCTATGCTGTTTTAAAAAATTGCTTCTGTTGTGTTATGAAAATAAACAGTTGTCGAATAAAGTTGTTAAGTGTTTGATAAACTTTTTTTTGGTAAAAGTGATTTTAACAAAAAAAAAAAAAAAAAAAAAAAACAAAAACAAAACAAAACAAATAGTGTTTGAGTGTTTGGTAAACTTTTATATAAATTGTTTTGAATATGTTAAATGCCTAAAATGGATATGACATTTAATGTAATATAATAAAGCTTCATTTGGCACATCGGACTGTACTGACTATTTCAGTCAAATAGAATAAATAGTCGTCGAATAATACTAGCTAAACTAGTCGAACGTTAGGTGTTGTATCAAATTAATTTGTGTATCGGACAATACGTTGGACTACAATGATTTAAAAAAAAAAATTCACAAAATAATTGTTGTAAAAATGAAAAAAAGAAAGAGAAAAAATAACATAAAGAAAAAAAGAAGTAAACACCATTACAGACAAAATTTAAAAAAAAAAAAAAAAAGAAGGAAAAAAACCCAGGTTTCTTCCCAGTCGTGTCTTCCTTTCTTCACCATATTCTCCATGCATCAAATCCCACCATCGGCTACCGATGGCAGATGAGTGGTGGTCGGGGTCGAGAATTTGGAGCCTAGATCCAAATTCATGTCCCCCGCCTCGTCAGAGCTCGGATCCGAATTGCTATTCCTTTCCTCGTCGGAGGCTAGCTCATTTCCTCGTTGTCCATCTCGTTGTCGAAGCCCAGATTGGAAGAATTTGAATCATTGTCTTCCTCCTTCAACCCATGGAAGTTTTGTTGTCAGAGAGAGGTGTGTGTGTGTATGTGTGTGTGTGTGTGTGTAAAGGAGGAGAGAGGAACAGAGAGAGAAAAAGAAGAAGGTGGCGAAGACGAACTTGGGATCCAAATGAGAGATAGCAGCAGGCAATGTGAGATAGTGGAAGAAGAGTGCTGCGAGAAAGGATGGAGTGAGCCGGTGTGAGCAAGAGAGATCCACCCAACTAAAAATATAAAGGTTTTGGACAAGATAAATAATCGGGTGTGAAAGGTGCAAAATAAGTGAGGCTAGATTAAATAAGAGTAAATTGTAGCAATGGTCCCTCAACTAAAAATCCATTACTATTGGTCTCTCAACTTATCAAAATGTGTAGTTATAGTCATTTTCATTAATTTCGTCAAAATTTTGTCAAAAAAAAGTTATGTTGGGATAACCATTTATATAATAAGGATTCCTCAACTCATCAAAGTGTGTAATTATGATCATTTTCGTCAACTACGTTAAAAATTTTGTCAAAACGAGTTATGTTGGAAGGACCATAACTATAATTGGGTTAAAGTTAAATGACCATTTCTCTAGTTGAATTAAAGTTAAGGGACCAATGGTAATGTATTTTTAGTTGAGAGACTATAGATGCACGTTTTGATGAGTTGATGGACCAATGATAATGAATTTTTAGTTGAAATACCGTTTCTCCAATTGAGTTAAAGTTAAGAGACCATAGTTACAATTTACTCATTAAATAATCCGATAATTATTTAATAAGGATTCGTTTGGCAGATCGAACTGTACTGACTATTTCAGTTAGAAAGGATAATTAGTCACTGAATAGTACTGATTAAATTAGTCGGACGTTTGATGCGGTATCAAACTAAAAGTCGACTATTTAAAATTGTGCTTGGTATTGTACAGGATAAATCGTATTATTATTACTTTTTATGAAAAAATCAATTTACATCTTAGTTTAAAAACAAAAAAACTATTAATAAAATGAAAAAAAGGAAAAAAATTTGATAGAATAATCAACATGGAAAGTCGTTTTGGTCTTCTTCGATTTGGGTTTCGAAACGGCAGTTGTTTTGGCAGCAGATTTCTCCTTATTGCTCGCTTCGGAGAGCTTGTACGAGGCCTAATCTTGATCACCTTCCCTATCGCCGCCGACTTTTTTAGCTGTAGCGTCGAGTCTTCCTCCAGATGCAAAAATTGAAGAACGTGACCATAAATCTTGAATTCGAGCACCATAATTGAAAATTCATAAGCAAAAAAAATGAAGAAGATGAAAACCCAGAAGAAAAAAAAATTGAAAACCCAGAAGCACCATAATTGAAAACCTGGGTTTCGTTTGCCTGGCTGCCTTTTCTTCCTTCTTGGGCTCCTCCGTCGCCGGAGCCTTTGCTGGCGGTTGAGAAGGAGGGAGAGACAAAGCAGCAATACCTTGGTGGAGTTCGCGTTGCGCAGGAGCAGAGAGGGTCGGAGAAGAGCCAACGAGAGCGTGAACCCGACTAATTATACCAACCTATTGGAGAGGATAACTAAGCGGGTGTGGAGTGTCTGAAAATGGTGGGACAGGATTATTTTATCCGGTGGCTACACAAGGCACCAAACAACTGGGACGATACTATTACCGAGAGTATTCACGAAATGGCCGTGATACTATTTACTTTAACGAAAAATTATATTTTTATACTAAAAAGTCAAACAGGATACTATTCATTTTACCTTTTATTTTATCTTTATCATTAAAACTCAAAATTTTCAAGCCATTTTCATTAGTTTTTCTTACTATTAATACTATATGATCCCTTATATGAGCTGTCAAACAAGACCTAAGAAGCTCACCAAACATCTATTCTATATTATTAGTACTATTTAGTGGTCTTACGACATGACAAATGATACCTAATTGTCAAAGAGAATAATGCAGTGGTAATATTGCAATTTTTTAAAATATGTGGAGTTATACTTATGATTTAAATTTTTTTATTAAATCGGCATTAGGTACTATGCTTTGAGAAAAAAAAATACTTTCTTTTTTTAGAATCATGGTAGATCATGTTTTTGCTTTTCTAAGCTTTTCAACAGTCATTGACAATAGTTTTTTTTTTTTTTTTTTTTTGTTTTACCAAACATGTTTGATATTCCAGATTTTTTTTTATAAGTTGTTTTTTTCAAAAGCAACATAATCTCAAATTAGCCCATCATTTTGCAACCCATGCATATAATCTCTAAGTGCTTTCTTAAAGTTAGAAGAAAGATTTTGCAGAAAGAGAAGTGCTTTACAAGAGTCGTATTTCATACACATACAGTGAATCTAGTATGTCTTTGGATATGAATGTTGTTAATTCATGAAATAATTCTTTGTTCTTATCATAATCTCACAAGGTTTTTTTTTACGGACGAGATTCTCTCCTTTTTTTTTCTTCCCCACCCCAACCCCCACCCCACCCCACCCCACCCCACCCTCCCAATCCTTTTTGTTTTCTTCTTACTTTTTCTTCTATTTCTGCAAGGTAAAGTCATAATCGTTGAAACAAAAGAAGAGAAGGAAGGGAAAGGAAGAAAGGGGCAGAGAACCCTTGTCCTTTTTTTCTTATACTAAATCATTGGTACACCTAATTATCATATTTATTGTGATGGAAATAAAAACTTGATAAAATAGAAAAGGATGGGACAGTGACAGTGACAGTGATAGGAAATAGTTCTTTTTGTTGACAAGAATCCAAATTGGTTGGTCTGACTTTGCATCCAAAACCCCTTTTCCAAAGAAATTGAGCTTCAAAAGACACCGCTCATATTCATATTCATATTCAATTCATGCACGGCTTATATTATCAATCTTAAGAAAATAAATTAAAGTTATCTTTTGCATCTGCCATTTAAACTGAGTTAGCTAGAAAAAGCTTGATGTAAAATCTTAAATAAAGTTGACTTAGGCTTAGCTAAGCTGATCAAAGCACTGTATGTTCAGCATTCTTTTTTATCACACAAGTTCAAACTACTCTTATCGTAATTTAGATAAATTTAGTGCGAAATATCGCTTGTATAAAAACAAAATAAATTTAAATAAGGAAGACAAAGAATAGCTTAGGTACAATTATAATAAGGAAATGCATTTTATTCCACATTGTAGTGTAGGCTACATCAAAGATTGCATTGAGTTTTACATCCGTACAACACCTTGTGCTCAACTTGGAAAAATGGAAAAGGCATTTCTCTAGTATCATTGCAAGCATTGGCTCTATGTACCCCCATGACGGTCCTCTCCTTTCAAACAAACTCTTGTAAAGTTATAGCTTCCTTCTCTCAATGTTAAGACTCAACACAAAATGGTAACACCAGTAGGAGTGCTACAAATATGAAATTACATATAACCGACACACACAATAACTTTTACATTTTTTCTTACCCTCCTTTTTTTTACCCTAGATTTGATTAAACTCTAAGTTCAGCTTGCCCAATATTGCCACTGTCATTTCCACCTTTTCCATCAAACTTGATATACTTGTACCATTTTGCACATAATACGTAGACCAAAAGATCAGCTGTTGTCAAAGCTGCTAAGAGAAAGTAGAACCTTTCCAAATGACCTTTGTTTAGGTTTCCAGGGATCCATCCAGGCATGCCATCCCTCGTAGAAATCTTCATCACAACTGTAACAAGTAAGCTACTCACATAGTTTCCAAGTGATATTGAAGTCATGCAAAGTGCACTCCCAAAGCTCTTTAATCCATCAGGTGCTTGTCCGTTGAAGAACTCCAGTTGACCAACATACATGAACACTTCTGATGCTCCTACAAGCACATACTGAGGAACTTGCCAAAATATGCTCAATGAACTTGGAGTTTCGCAATCGGTGTTGCAGTCTTTTGCCTCATACTTTAACCTGAACAACTCTACGACTCCTGCTGAAATCATTGCCAGGATTGCAATAACAAGACCAATTCCCATCCTTTGAAGCTCAGTGAGTCCCTTTTTCATCAGCCTAGCAACAAGCGGGTCAAGAACTCGCCTGTAAATGAAAATAAAAGCCGCTACGCTGAGAATGTCAAAGCTTGACATGCTGGCTGGGGGAATGTGAAAGCTTGAAATGGTGGTCTTCATTGCAGCACCTTGTTCTACAAAGAGTGATGCCATCTGAGTAAAAACTACAGAGTAGAGAATTGTGCACAGCCAGATTGGGAGTAGTCTAAGTATGCATTTCACTTCTTCTACTTGTGTCACTGTGCAAAGGCGCCATGGATTTTGAGCCCCCTTGCCCATTTGGTTCATCTCCTTTGGTGTGATGATTGCAGCTTTATCCAAGAATCTGTCGAAAGATTAACATGGATCGGTTTAGGATTTACCATTGGTCAACTACTAATCTATTTGGAGTACTTTCGGCAGTGCACTAAGCATGTTTAGCAGTATTTGATTGAAATAAAAAACCATGGTTTTTTTTTTTTTTTCTCCGCCTAGAAAAGCAGTTTTAGTACTTTCTAGTGAAACACCTGATACCTGTTTCTCCGAAGCTACGAAGGAGTGACAGTTGCTCGTGATATACAAATCAGCAAGCATTCCGTTGGAGCTTTTAAAATCTCTAATACTGAAAGAATCTCATTAAGACAATGCTCCCAAAGAGACTCTTGTGACTATTGATATTATCTATTAAGATCTAAAAAACATATATATAACTTACTTGAATCCGTGGGTGTGAAATATTTTCCTACTCTCGTTTTGAAAGCATTTATTCTCATCCTCTCCCTCGTACAAATCTTCCCCACTTGGTGTCATCTCATCCTTCCATTTTCTTGTTGCAGCCACGACCACCCGACAAAACCTAGAGAGAGGGTTTCCCTGAGGCTTGAAATGCCTGTACATTGGAGTGCCACATAGAAACAAGACCAAAGCCATGGCAGCAGAGCCAGTAGATACCCAAAACCCTAGAGTCCATATTCCCTTATCTTCAAAATATCCCAAGATTGTGTTTGAAAAGAGAGAGCCAAGATTCAAAGCCAAGTAGAAGAAGCTAAAGAAGGATATCTTTGAGTGCCCTTCGTTCGGGTCCTCCTCGTCAAACTGGTCTGCACCAAATGTAGCTATAGTAGGTTGGTAACCACCATTTCCAAGTGCGATAAGGTATATAGAGATGTAGAACAATCCGATTTCAAAGGTCGAGTGGTCTCCACAGGGATACTTTTCATCACCACAGCCTTTAGGCTTGAGTAAGAATATGTACGTCGATAGCGATAACAATGACAAACCCTGCTCGAAAAAATAAATTTACGTGAGTGTATATTTACTTGCAAGAAATTAAAACAATGCTGATCGTCACAATATAGTACACCTAAATAAGGGAAAAGAGAAGACAGCCAAGGGCTTTTCTTTTCCCTTAACGGTCTAAAAATGTGGTGAACAAATAAAAATGACAATCATCAGGTTTATCTATGAAGTGAGTCCATCTTAATTAGTCTAGAGAGGAAGAGAGTTAAAACGGTGGTGCTTAATTTATTTTAGATTAATTCTAGCTAGCTATTTCACTTATCCTTTTAATTTGCCTCAAACTTGAGTTTAACATGTCTCACCTTTTTATTTTTTATTTTTTTCTTTTGAGTCATAATCTGTACCAAATTAATCTCAACTATGAAGGACATTCAAACATATAAATTTCGTGTATATATAAGTTCTGTCATTTTTTTTTTTTAGATTTTTCAAGAATAAACAAATTAGTAGTTTAGATAATAAAAAAAACGAATGAGCTGCTTTAATTTTCAAACATCAACTTGGAGTTTTGGGATGAGTAAGTCACACCAATTGAATTCTTATTGGTACAATATTTTTTTCAATAAACCATGGATTCCAATTATTGACGAAAAAATTAATGTAATTATTGAATGTTAAAGTAATTAGTAAATAACTTACAATGACAAAAATAACTTGAAAGATAGCACAAGTCTTGTACCTCCCCCAGTAAGAGTCACTGAGGAGAGCACCAAGAAGAGAGAATATGTAAACTGTTCCAGTCCATTTGCTGACGTTATTTGCAGCCGCTGCGTTGTCTTGACCCAACACCCTTGTCAAAAACAATACCAGGTTCACTCCTACTCCAAAGAATGCCAATGTTGCCAACCCTTGATTTACTGATCAGACAGAGAACAGTTTGCCAATTAAAAAACAGATTAAATATTGTTATACGCACGGATGCGATCATTAATAATTGCACAGGGATGAACATGTAATATTTTCTTTAATGTGATTACGAGATAGAATCATAGAAGCTTAGGGTCAAAAGGGTAGATGAAAAATTAGAAAGATTTAGGAAAGTGATTCTAAGAAAAATTTTAGATTACTTGAATCTAATAGAAGATATGACATAAAAACAAGCGTAATGACATTTTAGAATTTATATAACCGATTCCACTTAGTAAGATAAATTTTTTTTTGTTGGTGTTGTTGTGTTTTCAGAAAGAGACATCATAGTCCGAAGGTATGAAGTAGATCATTAGAGCTACAGAAGATTAAGTCTTCCCTTCTTGGACCATTTGGGCAAACCATATACTGTTTGTATAGACATTTATGATCTTATATATCACATCATGAGCCCCAAAACAAAGTAACTCACAAGTGTCACATGATTTTGATGATCCAACTAATCAGACAATAAAACTAATTAAGAATTACATTAAGTTTTAATTTCTAGAATATATACACTCATGATTTTGATGATCCAACTAATCAGACAATAAAACTAATTAAGAATTACATTAAGTTTTAATTTCTAGAACACACACACACACACACACACACAACAAATACTGACAAAATATGACATATGAAATCTATTTTCCTTTTTTATTAAGGAGGCAGATTGTCTGCTCTCCTGTTTGGATGTTATTACCATCCTCTCCTATTTTGTGCGGTCATGGTTAAACCATGTCAACATTTTATATTGATTTTTTTAATAGAAATAATAAGACAAAAAACAATATGAATATAAAATATTGACGTAGCTTAACTATGACCGCACAAATAGAAAATGATAGGAAAGACATCCAAACAAAAGGGCAGACAATCTGCCTACTTTTATTAAATCCAAATGTGACTGCTTTTGGAAAAGTTGTTGGAGCAGTGAGAAATTATAAGGAAACAGCAGACAAATTGTTTCCACAATCAACAAATTGATATTTATTTTCTTCTTATCAAAAAATACTAAACTGTTCAAACATTAGTCAATGCAAATAGATAATGAAACTAATCTTGTTGCTAAACAGTTTAATCATAGACAATTAATTACCTAATATGAGAATGCCAGCAACCCATGTTCCTGTTCTTCCTCGGACAGCAGGGCGACCATACCAATCAATGGTTCCGTCGAGTGTACAAACTTCTTTTGTCTTCTGGTTCTTTTCTTCTGCATATCCCTGAAATGTTTGAATTGATAACAAGTTTAGCTAGCAATACATATATCCTCCTAGCTAGATGCAATATTTGAGACAGTGCACAATAATAGATAAAATAACACCTTTAATTTTCTTTTGGTGTACATAAATTAAGATCATTGCTCTTTATGTACACGTCACTTACCTACATATGCACTACACACAAATATAAAGATAAAATACATTGATATAACTATTTGGACACACGAAACTAGCAAACTGACAAACTTACTAAGACCAACTCCAATGGTGGGCTAAAAGCCAAATTACCCCAAAAATTTCTCCCCTAACCCACTCCAACCCAAGGGGAAATTTTGGGTTAAATGCTAAATACTAAACCAATGCTAAATTCCCCCCAAAATTTAGCCCAGAAATCGGAGTGGACTCTACACAATATTTATCGGAATTTAAAATTTTTTAGATTAAAATGTTCATAAAATTAATTTACGATAGTTTACATATTTATTTTTTTAAAAAAAATTAATTTAACAAAAAAAAAAAGCCTAAGTTCATTCTTTAATAATTTCGGGCTAAAATTTTAGGCTAGAACGGTTGGAGCAGAAAAGTTATTTTTAGGCTAAAAGCTAAATTTTCCGGACTAAAAAAATTTAGCTTTTAGCCTAACCATTGAAGATGGTCTAACACTGTCTAATGAAAGCAGGCCCTATTATTATATATGAGCCTCTAAATAACATCACCAAAAATAATTTGATGAATATACCTCTTCTTTTTTTTTTTTTTTCTTTCCTGTTTGAGGGGTTAATTGAAGATGCAGATAATATACGAATGAATATGTGGATAAAAGGAATATCAAATGCCCCTGTAAAAACCCAATTTGAATGCATGGGTGAAACATCTGCCGTAGCTAACAGTTGTGTGAGACATTATTCCCCACACCCATAAATATGTTCGGGTGGGTGATCACACATCTGGAGGCATTCAAAACTTCAAAGTGAGACATCAAATACATGGATGATATGTACAACGGAAACTGATATACATCACTAATAGATGATACATGTAGCATTGCTTGCACGTCAAAAGAGAGAAATACAAAATTCATCACAAACCTGGTCCTTGCAAACATTTAAGCAAGCCATTGCTACGTATTAAGCTGAACTCTCACAAGAACTAGGTTAGCTAGAGCACCACCCCCAAAAGAGTATGAGAGATTGGAACAAGTGGGAGAAGAAAGATGAGTAGGGGAAACCAAGAAAGTGAACCAATCTTAGTGGAACAAAAAGACGAAGCATGAGTGTTTGTTTGGAGGTAGAGGGGAAGTAGGAGTGAGGGGTTGAATATATATAGGACGGCAAGATTTAGTGAACGGCTAGGACTACATGTCGAAAGGTATGTGAGAAATTGAGATTAAAAAGGCACAGCTGGTTCACAGGAAAATTAGTCGATCAAGCAAGTGACAAGGAAATGCGAAGGAAATGTGGAAACGGGCTGGACTAATTAGGTAGGGAAGGGGGCTTTCATCTGTGGGAAAAAGAAGCGTGGCATTGTTGGATACAGCAGTCATCAAAGATAGGTGACTGAGTTGATGTCTTTTTCACGTGAATACAACAAACACTGTGGGCAGTGAATTGAAAACAGGGTAAAAGTTTAGAAGAAGAGTAATGCTATAGGTAGATTAAATTTATAAATGTATGTCACTAATAATAAATAAAAGCGCTAATATATATTTAAGTAATAATTCAATTATCAATAACCATACCATATAATTTACAAAATTTGATTTAAAAAGTTGATCTACCTAGCATTACCCTTAGAATAATATCCAACCTTTTATTGTACCATTGATCCGAACATCAAATATGTATGTTGCAGCCTCATATGATATTGGAGGCACATGAAAAAAGAAGATTAGTTTGTTGTTAATGTGTGCTAGGATACCTCTTATATTAAAAAAAGTAGTTGTGACTATGGGCTGTCTTTGATACCGACATGTTTGAAACATACATGTAGCTGTTAATTTTCCGAACGACTGTTTTTAATCTAATATTTGTTTTTTGTTTTGCTTTAATGCTTACGCATGGTTTCTTTCTGCGAATTGAAGTCCACTTATTTTTTGCTGCTTTTGTGGACTTAATATGACTCTGAAACTTCGGCAGTCTCATATATTGGACCCGACGTACAGGACTTTGGATACTGAAGAAAATGGACCGGGCTTCTCTGCTATTCTACTTTTCATATATTTTTATTTTTTTTATTTGTGCGATCACGATAAATTACGTTAATATTAAACTGGATCCGATGAAAATAACCAGATTTTATCTTTTTTTATTTGTGAGATCATGATAAGTCACGTCAATATTAAACCGGATCCGATGAAAATAACCAGATAAATCAGAAAAGCTGAAAACAATGTACGAAAATTCAATTTTAAATTTGAAGCGGACAGAATATTTTAGAACTTTGTTGTTGGGATAGACCTTTCCAAGTTGCACCCGGTTGCGTACGTAGTAGAAGCAGCCGGGCCAGTGAAGCTCAAAGGTTGTGGGTGCATGCATGCATCAACTAAAATCATTATCGCATTATGCATGTAAATAATGTGAAGAGGAGACGAGACAGGCACCTGCCGCTACGTGATTGGATTGAGCAATCTTAGTTCAAGTCACATAGACATTATGGTTTTAGGGTCACTAATCGTCCTTCCTTCTTTTTTTTTTTTTTATTTATTTTTTTTTTAATTTTAAGTGAGGCATTCTAGCATTCTGTACATGCCCAATCCATACTCATTGTGTGCTTGGCGTATGTCCACATGTGTTTTATTTAAATTATCTGTTAGAGTCAATATTGTTACAGTGAACAAATAGATAAATTATACATGCATAGAGCTTGGAGGTCATATTTATTAGACATATGGGAGGAAGGAATTCTTCTTCGTGAACTGCCAAAATCAACTCTACAACTTAACTTTGTGTTATATCTGTCTCCTGCAAGTTTTGAATGAGGAGTAACTGATAGAGTTGGAGGTGATGACGAATTGATCATTATTCGCCATAGTTTAATTCGATGTTGTATGGAGCAAGAAAGACGGCTACAATTTAAGTGGGGCCTTGATTCTTGCTTAGACCACCATTTTTCCACGGCCAAAAATTTTAGAAAGCCACATGTGCCCCTTCAGCCCTTAATAATGAGACTCACCCCTTAAAGTACATACTATTTACTGTATGACCTCTCAATAAATTTTATTTTCTTCTTCTTTACCATATACATCGGATTCCCTGAAGATCAAGACGGCCCTAAGGGTAGCCGAAGTAGACATCCAAGGCCTCCATTTCGGAGGATCCCCCAATTTTTTAAAAAAAATATATATTATATATTATATAATATATATATATATATATATATATATATATATATATTCTCTTACATTTCAAATTCAATAAAAATATCAAAAAGTAAAATTATAGGCAATTGAAAAAGAATTTATTGAAAAATTAGATTATGGAAACTTCATTAGTACATTTGATCTAAAAATGCGAGACGTCTAATATTGAAATAATTTTTGTATATCTTTCTTTATTTGATATTAATTTTTAATGATATTTGATGTAAAAATAAGCTTTTTCATATATTTAACGATGTCTTTTTATACATATCAATGCACAAAAAATCAGGTAGCCAAAAAACTCTAAGGCTCCACTTTGAAAACTCGCCTATAACCTCCAAATCTTACGGAAGGCCATGCTGAAGATTAGAGTTATTAATAAATAGATTTTCTTTCTTAAAAAATTAATAGACTTGTACCAGCATGCTTCTAGAATGATCAATGAAACATTTTATGGGAAAAAAAAAAGAAATCAGAAACAAAGAAGTTTTATAGGAAAAACTGTGCAGCTACTTCATCATTTTCGATCGTTTGTTTATATTATAGGCCATCTTTATCAACTTTTTGTTTTCTCTTTCTTGTTGATTTGAACACCTCCTGTCGACTCTCAACTGGAGTCGTCTTCAGCCTACACAAACTGAAAACAGAGCTCCTTATATATTAGTAAATGATCAATTACATATATAAATGTGTTTGTGTGTGTGTGTGTGTGTTTATATGTATGTATATATAATGCATGCCATATATTAATTATTGCAGTTTGAAACACTAATAATAAAACTATTAATAGATAATATTAAGGAGATCAAATTTTTTAAACTAAATTTGTAAAATGATGTGTCACTAACAGGAAACGAGCACATTAATCGATAATTAATTAATAATTCAATTATCAACAATCACATCATTCGACTTATACAATTTGGTTTAAAAAATTGAATTCTCTAGCAATACCCTTTTCCATGATTTATAACTGATACGTCAAGCAGTTTCTATCTCAAAGCATTTCTATGTTAATTAACATCACATGCGTTTGAAGCGACGCATGCAGATTGACTAATTCATGCATGTCCAGCATTTCTATGATACAAACGAATATATGTTGAGAATATAGTTAAGCAATTTCAAAGTATTTACTGTTTTAAAGTTTGCAACAACTACAATTCCTTTGAATGAGTTTTGGGTAGAGCTAAGCTAGCTACCATGCACAATCTCATGCTTAAATTCTCAGTTGTTTCAAATAAAAAAAAAAATTCTCAGATTTCGTAAGAACTTACATCAGCAGAAGCAACATCTGCAGAATTAAAAGACGAGATCCAGTTTGGCTCATCCTCATCCAAGTTAAAAAAACGAAAAAGGTACATGAGCAAAGACATTTGAGTTTATTTAATAACTGTGATGCACATGTATTTGGCCTTTTATAAAATAAAAAACTCTTATCTTTAGAGAGAGAGGATCGATACTAACTCACATGATTCTTGCTTGTGTATATGTATTTTGCTACTAATGTCTTTTTTCGTATTAGTATATAATATTTCTCTCTTGCCAGTTCATAAAATTGACAAACCTTGAACCAATCACATACTATACGTAGCAAGTAGCAACGATCAGATTTAAAATATTCACCATGTTACAGATAATAAAAGCTCAAGGGGATCCATGAAAATGGTGTTTGGCTTCCATCCAAGGAGACAGCAACTTCTGGTCAATGTCATGTTTAACGCAAAAGTTATTTTAAAATTTTCTTTTATCGTGTTTAATCAGTCATTTTCACACTTTTCGCGTAGCCAGCTATGCTAATTTAACTTGCATCTAGCTGCATACGATTCAAATGGACGATCAGAAGCCACTGAGACGCACCGTCGGTCCAGATTCCTTTTCATATAATAAGTCAATGTGAAAACCAACTGCTCCTATTCCATTCGCACACGGCTCTTTCCAACTTCACCATCTTGCTTATCACCTTTTTAACGTGATAAAGGGATTGATCAACTACTACTTATGAATATAAGCAGAAACGAATATAAATTTTTCTTTTATCTGGAGATATTTTCTCTTTTGATCCATATTGGGACCATGTGTTGCGTCAGCATGTTGAATTGATTTGCAGTTTTGCAGGTTTTCAAACCTGCTTGATGGCTTTCCATTTTCTTGGATGGGCATTTTTTTTGACATTTTGACATGATATGTATGTAGCATTAAAGCAACATTTATAGTGATCATAATAGCATTAGCAGCAGGAAAAATGTGATGAAGGTAGAAGAAAAAGATTGAGAAATAATGTTTAATTTTGATATTTATCTTAAAATTGAGTAAAAGATAAACTTACAAATAATGGATTACTTTTATTACAATTTAATAAAAAAAATTATAGAAAAAAGAAATTGTTATTCTCACTCCAAACTTTATATATTTAAAGAAAAAAATACGAGTAATGATATTCATACTATGTTTTTGTATCACATTTTCATACCACTTTAGTTGGTATTTGATGTGGATAGCCACATCACTTGAATTAATCAGATTTTTAAATTTAGTTCATTATTTAATAAACTAGTAATTAAGAAAAAACTGGTTAATTAAATGATGATTGTGGAATACGGGAAGTTTTTCTCCTTTCTTTCCTTGAGTTTTGCAAATTTTTCAAATGATGTGGCTGTCCACATCAAATGCCACCTAAGGTGGTATGAAAATATGGTGCAAAAACATGGTATGAATAGCATTACTAAAAAAAATACACTTGTTAGGAGTATAAAATGACAAATTTGAAGTATCACTAACAATTCCCTAAAAAAAAGGCTGGTGTCCCATAATTAGTGAATAGACCTAACCCAACAAAGTGAATTAAATCCATGAATGATTCACAAAACAAAAATGATATTCTTAGCAT